GCAGCATTGAAGGGTGGTCTTTCCAGAATTTGAAAAGGGGGGTTGGGTCTTATCGGAGTTCAGTCGGAGCTTGTGCCATCACGGGGTGGTTACTCACCATGTAATGGGGATTTAACACTAACCATGTAATGGGGACTTTACATACACAACCAATGTAATGGGGACTTTAAACTGACCACCAATGTAAGAGGGGACTTCTATATGTAACATCAATGTAAGTGGGGAGGGGTTATGTTGATTGCCAATATAGGGGGGATTTCTACACTGCCCACCAATGTAAGGGGAAATTGACACTGACTACTAATGTAACTGAGACATTTACACCTACAATCGATGTAACATGGGTATTTGCCCTGACATCCCCCTTTTCTGCCTCCTGCTAATCTCTGCATCTTTATTCATCGCCTCTTAGTAAACCTTTGCATCCTAAATCCCCCTGCTAACCTCTGCATCTCAGACCCCTTTCAGCCCCCCAGACTTCCCTCTGCTTAACTCTACATGCCCCTCTGCTTCTTTTGCACCCTGACCTCTTCCTCCTCATTACCTTTGCACACCCTGTTTAGATCCCTCAAGTGGGTAGCATAGGTGATGATGGACTGGGGCCTCAGGGGAAATGCTTTACATACTGTATGAATGCTGTCATGATTGATGAATGAATGATGTTGCAATCTGAATATATGAATAATCTATACACGGCAGAGGGTAAGGCCCCCTTCACACCGGCATTCTGTATGTCTGTTTTTCATCTGTCTGTTTACAGATGAAAAACAGACACCCATGTATTTCTGTGGACTAGTGGATGTAAATGGATGATCATCTGTTTATATCCGTTAATGTCCGCATCCGTTAACATCCGTTTTTTTGAAGGACAGAAAACCCTATTTTTCTTCCATTAAAAAACCAGAACGGACAAAAAACAGATGTAAATGGATGAAAACCAGATATAAACAGACACAAATAGATGTAAACTGATGAAAAACGGATGTAAACTGATGAAAAACGGATGTAAACTGATGAAAAACGGATGTAAACTGATATAACTGCTGAAAAACTGATGTGAACTGATCTGTTTTTTCTTGAAAAAAAAAACGGAACACCCGTGTGAGAGGGGCCTAACAAAGCAGGGCTGGGCAGCAGTGGTGACAGGCTCAGTACTCAGACTCAGCACTGTGATCTCGGGACATAGCCCAGGGCATAGATTTCAAGGGACAAGTAAATGTAAAGCAGGGCTGTCCCAGCAAATCCAGGACAGTTGGCAAGTATGCTAATACAGTTCAACACGACACAGAAAAATTACATAAAAGTGAGGCAGAAAAGGAATATTTTAACATATACTGTATATAGGTATAGTTACAGTATATATAGTTTGTATAAAAGTATAAAGGTTTGTCTGACATCTGTTAAGCTTGGCTTTAGTTCTTAAATATCAAAAATATAAACTCTCCAATATTCTAATGTTCCAAACTGATCCAAAAAAACAACATTTCAATTCATCCTATGGACCATTCATTCATACATACAGGAATATTGACCCCACTGAAGTCAATGGGAGCCAAATGTATAAAATCAATTATCCCTTTGCTTAAAATTAAACTTAAAAATGCACTGCGCCTTACTTGGGGGATTCCCTGACTGCCTATGAAGTGATGTATACAAAGTACTACAGCAAATTTGACATTTCCAAATGAAAAAATGTGATTTAAATTGCTGGTAGTTTACATTTACCTGCAAGCTTCTTTTATTTTGTAAAAAACAGCATGGGTACCCCCAAAATACGCACCAGGCCCTCATCAAGGAGAACGATAGTCTAGTATGTATTTTGGGGGACCTTATGTTTTTTCAATAAAAAGGATACAGGTGGAAAAAGTAATATTACTAGCATTTTTTTCTTTGTCTACTGTCACTTTTTCTGAACAGGGATGTCCAGGAAGGATATTAAGGAAGATCCCTTGCAAAAAAAATTGTGTGGGTCCCCCATAAAATCCATACAAGACCCTCCAGATCTGGTATGAGTTCCAAGGAGGAAACTCACACAAAAGTGGTATAGGGTCCCTCAAACATCTAGACCCTAATATGAGCACACAGCCTGGCAAGCCAGGCCACATGCCCGCAACATGGGAGGCCACCATGTTGATGAAAAGAAGTGCATGTACTGTATAGGCACTATTTTTCAGTTTGGGATAACGTAGGTAAGTGGTAAAATCCCCATCCTTTTTGTTATTGCCATCTGTTTCCCTGCTGTTTAGATTTCCCTGTTTGTCTTGGTTATTATGGTCATTGGTACAGAAAGTTATGGGTAACCTAAAATATTTCAGTTGTCACCAATGCAAGAGGTGAAGAGAATCTTCCAATAGGGACAATTGTGATAACTGTCCACATGGAGATTTACTTGCAGATGGGTTTACAGAATGAAATGTAAAGCCCCCCATGGGTGACAGAAAGCAAATAATAAACTGGCAGCCAGGGGCGGACTGACAACTCATGGGGCCCCCGGGCAATAGGGTAGCATGGGGCCCCTGTGTCCTTTCCCATACTCAAAAAAGCCTATGAAAAAGGTACCGGGGGCATCTCATGGGGCCCCCTACTGACCCCGGGCCCTCGGGCAGTGCCCGAGTTTCCAAATGGTCAGTCCGCCCCTGCTGGCAGCGGTGTTCCAGTGAAAATATACAAAAATAAAAGTCAGCACTACAAAAACTGTAGCTGCTGACTTTCAAAAAACAGCCACTTACCTGTCCCTCGATCCCACGGTGTCCTCCCCGCAACCCGTTTCACCAGCTGTCCTGTGTTCCCGGAGCTGGAACCTTCAGTGTGGGCACCCAGCTTGCGGCTTCACAGCCGGGTACTCACTGCACATACACGAGTAGCGCTGCACTTTGTGACTGGTCCTGTAGTCTTCTAGGACCTGTCACATGTCCCAGAAGACTACAGGGAGGGAGGACAACTTCCGCTTGCGAAGCAGCGGACGTGGGAGTGGGTACCTGTCAATTTAGGGTACCCACCACCCCCCTCTCCCCAAAGGTGCCAATCCTTAACGGGGAGCGGTAGACCAGTCCTTAAAGCTGAACTTCCCCTTCTGGGTACAGCTCCACTATAACCAGGGGCAGACTGATCATTTGGAAACTCGGGCACTGCCCAAGGGCCTGGGGTCAGTAGGGGGCCCCATAAGATGCCCCTGGTACCTTTTTCATAGGCGTTTTTGAGTTTGGGCAAGGACACAGGGGCCCCATGATCCCCTATTGCCCGAGGGCCCCATGAGTTGTCAGTCCGCCCCTGGCTATAACCATTCCCTCCTCTATCAAACTAAAAAGTAATGCTTTGACTACATATACACTTAAACTGTTGTAGCTGCAAACAATTACGTAATTGTCAAGATGTGCACACTATGTAACGCATGTGCATCAGACCTGTGTTGGGATGCCATTAAAAGTGCACTATTGTGAATTGCAGGACTGCAACACACACAATCACAAAAGTATATTTTGTTCCTTCTTATTTTGTACTGTGGAAGGCTGCCCTTGAACTGGAACTAATATAAAAAAAGGTCAAAAAGTAAATATTCACGGTCTGTGCCAGCAAAATGTTTTGGTTCATTTGCACATTCACACATCTTTTCAGAGCCACAGATATATATAGATGTAATGATAGTCAAATTATGTGACGTCATGCTGCACGTTGAAATCTCTCATGCAGATATATAGACAAACAAAATCTAATACAGATCATCTCCTTAATGTATAGATTCACACAAAGACAATGAATACTTTATTGAGCTTTCTTGTTTTTTTCATTTGTTTATCAGGTGAGTCCTACAGTGACATGTTTTCTGATAATATTCATTTTCTAAAGAGTTTAATAGTAGTGAAATCTGACATGGTGTCATATTTTTCAGAAGTCCAGTCTGCAGCACAACTTGTCCGGTCAGACCCAGCGGTGGTAAAGCCAGGAAATTCCCACACACTGACCTGTACAGCTTCTGGATTCAACTTGCTGGCTCTTGGTTTAGTTGGATTAGGCAGTTTTCTAATGGACACCTACAATGGTTGTGTGAGATTAACACCGATGGTAGCATCAAACACTATACTGATTCTATCAAGGGAAGATTCACAATTTCCAGAGATAACAGTAAAAATGTATTAAATTTAAAAATGGACAGCATGAATACGGAGGACACTGCTGTGTATTACTGTGCACATTGACTGAAAATATATCTTCCATTTAACAAAAATTAACCACTGCATGTCATGTTTTATCAGTAGATGGCAGCACAAATGTAAAATACTGATATGTCTGTAATATCCTGTTATTTGCAGAGCACCTTTCTCATTGTACTCGTATGTTATTTTCAAAGGTTATGTACTGTATATTCTGTGCATTCTTTCATTGTAAGCATCAAGAAATGACACAATAGGGGTTATTTACTAAAACTGAAAAATAAAAGCTGATTGGCTGCCTTGCACAGCTGCACCAGATGCTGGGTGCACCAGTTTTAGTAAATCTACCCCAATGTAAATTAAAGAAAAGGTCCATGGGTAATGGAAAAAGCAAGGTGCGTTTGAGACAAAAGCAGAATGATACAGACATATTCCACAGATAGGCTGAGAAGTAATATCTGTGATATCAATTGGGGCCTGGTGTTAACCATTTCAATACCAGGCACTTATACCCCCTTCCTGCCCAGGCCAATTTTCAGCTTTCCGCACTGTCGAAATTTGAATGACAATTGCGCGGTCATGCAACACTTTACCCATATGAAATTTTTAGCATTTGTTTCACACAGATAGAGCTTTCTTTTGGTGGTATTTAATCACCACTGAGTTTTTCATTTTTTGCTAAGTAAAACAAAAAACACCTGAAACTTTTGAAAAAAACACACTGTTCTTAGTTTATGTTATAAAATTTTGCAAATAAATAACATTTCTTCATAAATTTAGGTCAAAATGTATTCTGCTACATTTGAGGAAAATAATAATAATAATTGAATTTGTATTTTTTTTTTCAAACGTTTCTATTTTTTATTACATTTTTTCTTTTTTTATTTTTCAGCACACTGTGACCAAAGCAATACAATGTTACCATAGTAACATTGAACTACTCTGGGCAAGTGATCAGGATTATTTTTTTTTAACACATTATGATTGCTCATTGATATTTGCAATAATTGTTACTGAATGAAACTGATTCATTTAGTCTTTTGTTGTGATTAGCTGTGATTGGGCAAAGCTGTTCACATGATACAGATGGGCTGTCATTGGCGCTGTCTGTATCATGTGACTGCCTTGACCAGTCACAGCTAACAACAAAATTATATACAATGGATGGCATGACAGGAAGCCATCCATTGTATACAATCGACATGTGATCTGCTGTGATTGGTCGCAGCGGTCACATGACACTGGCAACAGACCGCTGTAGTGGTATGTCATTGGCTGTGTCCCATGGACACAGCAAGTGACAGATTGTGCCACTGTGCGGCCCCATGGGCGTGTGAGCAGCTCGTTTTGATAGGACGTCATATGACGCCCAGTCACAGTGGTGAGTATCCCGCCCGGCCATCAATCTGCTATAGGCCGGGCGGAAAGGTGTTAATATATACTGTACTGCATATAGAACATGGCACAATGAAGGCAGATTAGACCGGTAAAATCGGGACTATTGCATATATTTTTGCAAATAATTTGAAAAAAAGAAGTGGGGGCATTGAACAGGTTGATCTTAGGTGGTTCAACAGGTTCATCTAGTTAGTAGGCAAGGATAATAGAGAAAGGGCAGAGTGGTTGGGTAGTGTTGGGGGTTGGAAAAAGATGCCCTAGACAGGGTTAGTCAAAATCCCCACTGTAGGAAAGAGAAGAGATAGGGGTAGAGGGGTGCAGAAAAGAGAGGGAATGTGGAGAGAGGCTGAAATGTGATAAGAATGGGAAAGTAGAGAAGAGAGTCAGTTAGATAGTATTGGTAGTGGGCACTTGGGAAGGGTTCAAGGTAAACTGGAAAGATGTTTTCTATTCTTCTGTGAAGCAGAAAAACAGTAATATCTTGCACAATTAATTGAAAAATAATGGTAATGGCACTGCCTGGTTAACAGAAATAAATCTGTGCATTGGTAAAGAGAACATTTCAAACACTTACGCATCACCCATCACCAAAAGAAAAAGCAAAATTCAAATTCAGGCACAAGTTTAAAATGTATCCAAAAGTTTCAGTCTAGTTATTTGATGCTATATGCTCCTTTTTTCTGTCCCTTCTCTGGGATGGATGGTCCTTTCTGATGCCAGGAGTGATAATACTACCAATAGCACACTGTGAATGAAGGGTGCTACTGTGACCCCTTCTCTGGAGGTGAGTACATAACAACAGAGTTCCCATTCTACCATGCTGAGTGATGCTCTGCATCATTTAGTCCTGTAAACCAAACAAGTGCAGCATTGTTTTCTGATGCAGTGACCGTTGAGAGGTACTGTCAAGGGACAATGCTTTATTGAAGGTGAGTATTGCAGCCAGATTTTCTTTTTTGTTTTCTAAACCGTTCATTGGACTGTATTATTGAATTACAATTTAACTTAGAATGGGACTGTAAATTGTATTTTAAATAATAATGTAATTAAATTAAATTAATTAATTTTTACTTTTAAGGTTTTGGATAGAGTGAGAAATATGTGAGCCAAGTTGTTGTTTTTGCTGTCTTTGACCTCATTGGTGTGTTTACCCTGCACCTCCTTGTCACAGAGGCACAATATGAATTAAGTAACAATCTCCACAAAATTAGGAGAAATTCCCATTTTGACAGTCTCCAAAACATGTATATTTTCAAATTTTGTTGCATTGACAACTGTAACATTTTTGATTCCCACTTACCTTCCCCCTGGTCACAAAAAAGAGATCCATAATCAGCATATTACTGTATAGCTTTTTGTAAAGAATAATGGCATCCCTCTAGAGCAGTTGTTCCCAGATTTGTTCACTTACATACCCCTTGGCACCTCACTATCTTAAATTGTACCCCTTGGCAGCCCATTTTCCTAAATTATATCCTTCATATTAGCAAAGTATTGATAATAATTAGTTGCTGATGTTTTAAATTTATACATTGTAACTGAATAAATGTCCCAGTAATGGGATTAAAAATAAAGGGTATAATAAGGTAATTTACTCCCTTGAACAACAAATTCACAGTTTAATGTTTATCACTAAGTCTGTTTCGGCTTCTCTTCAGGTTCTCCCCCTTTCTGTCTTGGCTTCTCTATAGGTTCTCTCCCTGTCTCCAGTCTCTAGGTGCTCTTCTAAGTCTTGAGTGCGTTGAGCTATTGAAGGTTGCTTTTTGGAGGAGTACCTGGTGCGTGGCTCTGGCAGGCACCAGGCAGAATTATTATTATACAGGATTTATACCTAGCAGTGTAGTGGTTACACCATGAAAAGTCAGTGGAAGCAGTAGTGGGCACTAAGACACTTTGAGACTCCCTCCCCTGGGTCCTGCAGCATGTTCACTGCTGCTGTGTAGAGTATTGCAGTGCACAATGTGGACCCAGCATTTGGGCAGGGTGCTGCTGCATGGATTTAAAGTGGTTATAAAGTCAGAAGGTTAATGCATAGAATGCATTAAGGTAAAAAATCTTCTGGGTGCAGCTCCCCCCCCATGACCCCCCCCCCCTTATACTAAACATCCCAATCCAGTGATGTGCATGAGTGCTGCTGCTTTCTCAAGTCTCACTCTCCTCATTGGCTCACACAGCAGCGGAAGCCATTGGCTCCTCCTGTGGTCAATCACAGCCAGTGAGCCAATACAGGGAGACAGGGGGACGGGGTCGAGCCACGCTCTGTGTGTGAATGGACAATGTCCATTCACAAGAATGCAACTTGGGAGCGATCCTGCTCGAGTGCTCCCACAGCAAAAGGCTTGCTATTGGGAGCTCCCATCAGGGGGGAGGAGCCAGTACTGCCAGCTGGGGTCCAAGAGAAGAGGATCAGGGCTGCTCTGTGCAAAACCATTACACAGAGCAGATAAGTATAACATGTTTGTTATTTTTTTTAATTATAACCTTTTGAATCATATTAAGGGAAGAGGCGGGCACCTTCATAAATCATGGGTGGCAGTATGCTGTGACTGTTTTCGGTGGGATTAAACTAGTTGTAAACCTCAGACATGAAATATGAACAAAGCATACAAAACATAATTTCTGTCTGCTTCTTTGTTCCTCTGCTATCAGTATGAATCACTTCTGACAGATTTTCCTGGCTTTAAGAGAAAAATGGTGACAGGGGAGGGAGCTCCAGCAGAATGACAGTATCAGCTCTGTTCCTGTGAGCTGTGTGGAGGGGGGTGTGTTCCTTCCATCCAAACAGCTCTCAGAGCTCTCCTCTCACTGATGTAACTTCAGCTCCCCGCCCCCTGATTTTCAGAGCTAATAGTTCCTGTGTAAATTCTACACTTTGAATGGATGTAGGGGACAGATGGTTGCAAATAAACAGGTACAACTTATGTAGGAGGCTTTGTTTCATCTCTGTGCATCACCTGAGGCTAGTCACTTCACTGGGTATATGAAAGGGTGTACAGCCACTTTAAGAAGGATGAGGGTGTTGTCAGGTTACTCTTCTCCTGTTTTTGCTGCTGCCTAGTGTCACTTATTGACCAAGTGACAAAGTGCTAACAATGACATTATTCAATTACAGTCAGCCATTATTAATTTTTTTTCACAAAACATTCCCTAGGTTGAAAACCACATAATTTTTCAAGAAAGGACCCATCAGGTCATACAAAAAGTCAAACAGGGATACAGAGTATAGGAGTTAAGCTAGCTCTGCTGAAACCATATTGTAAGGAAAACCATTACTTGTAATTGAAAGTATGAGGCTCATTTCCTTCTATGCTGTAAAGGCCAGCAGGGGGATAAGGGGCCCCTGAAACTGTCTGTCAAAGCCATAGGCAGAGTGGGGGGGGGGGGGCTGAGAAGCACTGTGTGTGTCTATGAATACACAGAATCGACTCAGGAGCAAGCCTGCACGAGTGCCCCCATAGTAAGCATAGTAAGCAGGAGAAGCCAGGAGCACCAGTGTGCTTACAGTGGAAAGCACACACACAGCTTACTGTGAAACAGCACACAGTTAACCCTTTGATCGCCCCTCATGTTGACCTCTTCCTGCCCAGTGCCATTAGTAAAGTGTCAGTGCTTTTTTGTTAGCACTGATCACTGTATTGGTGTCACTGGGGATCCCCAGTGACACCAAGTCAGTTCCCCCTAGTGTCAGAATGTCTGCCACAGTCTCGCAGTCCCTCTATAAGTTGCGGATTGCAGCCATTACTAGTAACAATACAAAAAAAAAAATCCCAGTATATATACATTTGTAAACGCTATAACTTTCATGTAAACCAATTAATTTACACATATTGGGATTTTTTTTCGCAAAGACTAAGGTTGTAGAATGAATTTTGGTGTAAATTTATGATGAAATTTGATTTTTAAAATTTTTTTACTGGACATGTTTAATAGCAAACAGTCAAAAATATATTTTTTTCTCAACATACTCAGTATTATTTTGTTTCTAGCGGAAAATTTTTTTTAAACGCACAAGCGATCAAATACTACCGAAAGAAACCTCAATTCATGGGAAAAAAATTCCAGACATTTCATTTTGGTGCAGCGTTGTATGACCGCACAATTGTCAGTTAAAGTAACGCAGTGCTGTATCACAAAAATTGGCCTGGTCAGGAAGGGGGGTAAATCCTCAGGAGGGCAAGCGGTTAAAAAAACACAGAATCTTTACAATCACTTTAAATTTTAAAAAGGGTTTCATAGAAATTATTCAGCAGAAAGGCATTTGTACATCTGCACATCAGCGACAACAGGCAAAGTCAGCAGAGCTACTGACCAATCTCTAATCTGTCAGTCAAAGCAGGTATATTACTATCTGATGAAAAAGCATGTGTCCCTTTAAAATTACCAGAAAAAAATAATTTTTTCAAACTGAAATGAATTAGTTTGGGGAGCTGCTGCTGCTGCCTATAAGCCAAAGTAACTGTATAAGAAAAAAAAGATAACTGTAATAAAATATGCAAATTTTCTAAGCGCAATGTGGAATCAAAATACGTTGATTTATTTTGCATGTGTATACACATCATAACCACTGATATATATATATATATATATATTTGCAATACTATTCAAATTATGTGATGTCATTTTATATATTGAAATATCTCCTACAATATATAGGCAGAGAAGATATTTTACAGATCATCTCCACAATGACAAAGACAATGAAGACTGTACTGACCTTGTTTCTATCACTAATATATTTATCAGGTACGGCACCAAAATAGAATTCCCTCTATTCATTTTAAATTATTTACTTTAGTGCAACTGTAAACGTGTGTTCATGCTACTTTTTTATTCATTGTTAGGTGTCCAGTCCGCAGAACAACTTACCCAGTCAGAGCCAGCGGTGATAAAGCCGGGGAACTCTCACACACTGACCTGTAAAGCGTCTGGATTCACTTTCAGCAACTACTGGATGAGCTGGGTCAGAAAGATTCCTAATGGACAACTCCAATGGTTGTGTGAGATTAATCCTGCTGGTGGTGGTGTAAACTATAATGATGCATTTAAAGGAAGATTCACAGCCTCCAGAGACAACAATAATAACATTTTAAATCTGAAAATTGACGGCATAAAAACTGAAGACACTGCAGTATACTACTGTGCAAGACACACACTGACAGAATATATATCTTCAGTGTAACAAAAACTAACCACTACTTGTAATGTTATAGCAGTAGAGGGCAGCGCAAGATTAGAATAGTGAAATACATGGAACTTTACATTTTAGTTGTATTGTCATTATATTGTTTTTTTTTTCTTCCAAAAAAGATTTTATTAGAAGAAAGCAGTCATAACAATACATGTACAGATGTAAATCCAAGGTTGGACATATCACTGTATGGCGCTTCCCGTGTCGCAGACGGGTCAAATCACAACAGGCAATACAAAACATAACATTGTAAACCATTGTGTCAACGTAATATTACAGTCCAGGAAATATACAGCATATAAGAAATGCGCAGAGAGATATATTGTCTTTTGACCTTTGAGCAGTATTTTCTGTCATGGGAGTGTGAAGAGTATGATAAAGAATATGAACAGCATATGCTCAAGTTTTGGATCTGTTTCACGAGTCTAAGAATTGGATGTGTGAGTGATATGGGGCGTAGTACGTCTGTTTGAAGGACAGCGTTCTGTATCAGTTATCGTACAGAAACAAAGATAGGAGTAGGGTATAGGTGGGAGCTAGAGATCAGGTAGAGAGGTTAGTAAGTAAAATAATGAGGTGATAAAGGTAAGTCTAAAAAGAAAAAAAAAAAAGGAGGGGGGAGGGCATAGGGTGAGGTAAAACGGAAAGGAGGAGTGAAAGTGGATAAGTGGCTCTTAACCTGTGAAATGAGCCACAGTGAAAATACCTACTTATAGCTCAGGACGTGGTGCATATCAAGACAGTCAACCGGGTAATATGCGGATACAGGTTCCAAGGGAGTAAGCCTTGGCGAGAGGCTACGGTATATCTAGCCATACATCAAGAGGTATCCCAGAAAAGAGGACACTCCCCAGTATCAGGACATGTCCAGTCAGTCTTTGCTGCATTAGTAGGTGGTAGGTAGGGGTGGGTTTAAAGTGCCTCCAACAGGCCCAAGTTCCCCTGAATCTCTCGGGATGTTCCTTGGCAACAGAGATCAGTTCCACCATTTCCTCCATTCTATTGAGCCTCGCAAACCATTCACGAATGGTGGGAATATTTGTCGAGCGCCAGTGGACTGGGACACACTATTTTGCGGCGTTAACCATATGCATGGCGAGTGATTTACGATATGTCTGGAATGGGAGTGAAGAGTGATGCAGTAGAAATTGTGCAGGGGTGAGCTCCAAGCTATACGTGGTCACTCGTGCAATTGTGGATTGAACTCTCCCCCAAAATGGCTGCAGCAGTGGGCAGTCCCACCAAATGTGCCTGAGCGTACCCTTAGCCAGGTGACATCTCCAACAAGAGTCGAAGATAGTGGGATCAAACTGGTGGAGTAGGGCTGGAACTCTGTACCATCTAGAGTATAATTTGAAGTTGCTTTCCTGTGTAGAGACACATATGGAGCCCTTGTGAAGTGCGTAGATGTGATCCCAGTCTTCCGGCGTTAGTTGGAGTTGTAGGTTAGAGCTCCAGGCTGTACAGGCTTTCCTAGACTGAACCTCAATAGTGTTTTCAAGGCAAGAGTAAAGCTGGGATATAACATGTCTCTTGGGGGAATCTGTAGAACAAAGTTTTTCGAATGGGGTAAGAGGTCTGGTAAATTTGTTTATGTGTGAAGAACTATGAACGAAATGGTGTAATTGTCTATACATCCATGGTGTTAAGGTCAGGAGTGGCCATTTGTTTAAAATGATGTCTCTAGATAGAAATGTCCCATTTTTAAAGAGTTGGTGCATACTCAGATTATTTGGGTGGCTGGATCCTGCAAGATATGCATGTGACAAACCCGGGTGGAAGTCCGGGTTCATAGTAATGGACGAGAGTGGGCCCGGAGTAGAAGAGAAGTCCGATTTCTTAATTATCTGATGGTAACAGGCTAAAGTAGGGCCTATAAGAGGGTGTCCCGTGAATTCAATAGGAAGGTGTGCACTTTTCAGCCAAGGAGACGAGGAAAGTGGGGTCTTCAAGAAAGCAGCCTCCAAATTAACCCACGCTTTTCGACTAATTATATTGTTAACTTGTATGAAACGGGATCTTAGACCACAGATTAAATTCCCAGCATACAAATTCAGACTCCAACACTTTACACAGAGGGAAGCACTACCACTCCTCCCAGATATAAGAGATGAATGATCCCTTTTCACGACCTCCTACTCTCTATCTCCCTTGTCCCCTCCTCCCATGCTGGTCTCCAGGACTTCTCCAGAACCTCCCCCATCCTCTGGAACTCTCTACCCCAATTTATCAGACTATCGCCGACTCTACTCACTTTCAGGTGAGCTCTGAAAACCTATCTCTTCAGAGAAGCGTATCCTGCCTTCAGCTAATAATGGAATCTTCTATTCCTCCTACCAGTCCATCCCCCAAAGTTATTACCGTTTGTACCACTAGCCCCTCCCTCTTAGATTGTAAGCTCCAAGGAGCAGGGCCCTCCTAACCCTCTTGTATTGAACTGTATTGTTGCTGTATTGTCTCCCATTATATTGTAAAGCGCTGAGCAAACTGTTGGCGCTATATAAATCCTGTATAATATTATTATAATAATAATAACTTTTACAAAAGTGCCATGCTATGGAACTCAGACATTCCTTGGGACCAATATCGAAACTACGCTTGGTCCTCCCTCCATTAAAGTGTTAATAAACCCACAACAGTAAAATCAATCTGTATATGCAGCAAAGCATGCTTGTTATACTCACTGTGGAACCTAAGGGGTTAATCCTCTGCATTGTGTAAGAAAGGCTGTTTGATCCTTTCTTCTCTGCCCCTCCTATTGTTGAAATGACCACCCGATACAGACTGAATCTGTAGTCACATGCACATGCTCAGTTTGGTGTGTATTGCTATAGAGGTTTTTTTTTTTTTTCTAGGGAGGGTGCAAGTGATCAGCACAGGGCCAATCAGCGCTGTCCAGACAGAGGGTCAGAGGTTTCACATCCTCCTAGAGCAACATGAAAACTCCTCCTACAAGCTTTAACCAGTGCTCTGATGAAGTCACAAGACTGCTGATGAGAAAAGGTATTTAGCAGTTTATATTTACTAAAATAATTGCACTTCCATGTTCAGTGTACTATGGGAGACCAAATATAGTGAATGCAGGGTTCTGGGTTTAATATCACTTTAATGTCTTTTGAATATTTTTGTGATGATTTTCAATCTATGACACATGCCCTGTCTGCTATTTATCAGAATGTTGGGTCTTCCTGATTCCTTTCAGCCACACTTTGTTGTTTTCCATTGCAATTCCTTGTTTCCAGGGAAGGATAATACATACTATGCAGAACCATACAAAACATTTTGCAGGAGCTGACAGGGGAGAGAACTGTATTGTTTACATACAGTTCTCTCCCCCGTTAGTAATACTCGGTGATCAGTAGGTGCCGGAGCGTAATTACCGGCTGGGACCCGGTGATTGACAGATGAGGCCGCGAATGGCGGCGCAGATAGGGCCCGGAACTACAAAATCAGGTATATATACATGATTTTGCGCACGTATAACCGGATGGGAAGCAGTTAACATGCAGGTAGAAAATGAGGATGAATGACTAGAAACAAATGTTCCCGGCATTACATAAATAAAAACATGAAGAACACATGGATCATCCTGATTCACTCCACCATTAGATGGATGGTGACAACCCCTCTGTAAAGGTGTAAATCAGTGCAAAGTTCTGGAGCTGTAGGAGGACTTGGTGATCATAAAGTTTGAGTACTGAGGCAGCAGGAGCTGGAACACAGAAACCAAGAGCCAGATTGAATGAGAGACATAAGGCTGGGCACTGGATTTTACAGCACTGGAATTGTGGTGTGCTAGACATGTGATTTGTTTCATTAAGAATTTTTGTCCACATTTTTTTTGTATGTTTGTTCAGTTTTTTTTCCTTGGAAGTGCACATTTCAATATGATGACTTAAAAATAGAGTGTTATGTATAAGAAAAGATTGCACTGCACTAATTTATAAATAGAAGTATCTGATTGATGTGAGGAACACATGTCAGTGATAGCTGAAATCACAAATATTAAGACAGTGATTTGGCCATTGGGTTTTCACATTGGTTTGCACAGAGATCTTTTGACAACTGACTTTTGACTACTGTATCATTGCAACACCAAGTACTAATATCGCACTAGAGAGTCTTTATCCTTTAATAAAAAGTCATTTGGGGATTTATTTATAAACTTCTTTACAATATTCATTTTGCAGAGAAAGTTTGTAAATGATATTTGTCAAGAATAGTGATTTAGTGTATGTACTTTATATCATTAGCGGTGGCGGGGCGTGCTGATTTACTATTATACAATACCGCTACATGTATTATTTATATGTTAAACATGCAAATTATATGACATCACTTCCTATTTTAAGATCTCATTTATAATATATAGATGCATAAAAAAGTAACAAGTAACTTTTTAGATGCATAGATTGAAATTGTGCGTTTCAATAATGAATACTTTGTTAGGTGTGTTAATATCACTGACATGGGTACCAGGTAAGCATGGGTATCCTTAGTTGATAAAACCTGTTCATGAATCTGAGTTTATGTATTATTGGAAGTGTTGTTTACCAGTGTTATCATTTATTTTCCAGGTATCCTGTCTTCTAACCGACTTGTCCAGTCTGATTCAGCCGTGATAAAGCCGGGGAACTCTCATACACTGACCTGTCAGGCTTCAGGAGGATTCACCTTTGGTAGTTATGATATGAACTGGTTCAGGCATTTCTCTGATGGAAAGTTACAATGGTTGTGTTATATTGGTATCAGTGGGAGCACAT